TGCCCACATCTTGAATACTGTGTGAAGATGTGGTCACCCCATCTCAAAAAAGATAAATTGTAATTGGAAAAGGTTCAGAAAAGGGCAACAAAAATCATTAGGGGTATGAAACGGCTTCCATATAAGAAGAGATTAATAAAACTGGGACTTTTTAGCTTGGAAAAGAGACGACTAAGGGGAGGTATGATTGAGGTGTATAAAATGATGACTGGTATAGAGAAAGTAGATAAGGAAGTGTTGTTTACTACTTCTCATAACACAAGAACTAGGGGTCACCAAATGAAATTAATAGGCAGGAGGTTTAAATCAAATAAAAGGAAGTATTTCTTCACACAACGCACAGTCAACCTGTGGAACTCTTTGCCAGAGGATGTTGTGAAGGCCAAGACCATAACAGGGTTAAAAAAAGAACTAGATAAATTCATGGACGATAGGTCCATCAATGGCTATTAGCCAGGATGGGCAGGAATGGTGTCTTTAGCCTCTGTTTGCCAGAAGCTGGGAATGAACTACAGGGGATGGATCACTTGATGATTACCTGTTCTGTTCATTCCCCCTGGGGCACCTGGGACTGGCCGCTGTCAGAAGACAGGATACTGGGCTAGATGGACCCTAGGTCTGACTCAGGAGGGCCATTCTTATGTTCTTAGAGGATTGGATTTGACAAGCTGTATGTGTGCCAAAGCCAATATCCATTGTGAGAGTGGCTCTGAGAAGGAGCAGAGAGACAGAGTTCCTTGGGGCACAGGACTCGCTGGAAAAGCAAGCTTGAAAAGTGACCAAGGACATTGGCTGCTACTATGTGCAGGGAAACAGGACTTTGTGTACGTTCTTTGTAACTAAACAGGAGTGCACCAGAGACTATAGCTGATTCATATACTCTATTTCTCCTCCTAACAGAAACAACCCTTCAAAGCCCCAAATATTGGCTAAGCTTTTGGGACAAAGTAGCAATAATAATATTCCCGAGGGAAATCCCAATGAACCTCCCTGTTGGCTCTCGAGTGACTTTACTCCATGCCCCCTCTTAAATTAAACCTAAGAGGATCCTAGGGGGTGGCAGCTCAGCTTTTAATGTGCTGCCCCTAACAGGCTGGTGCAGCGGGGACCTTCTGCTGGACTGCAGATGCACCGACCCCCAGACACTGGTTTTGTACCCTGAGGCTTGCTATCTGATCCCTTTCCAGCCACACAGTTCACGCTTCAACCCCCTTGTGCTCCCACGAGCAGTAATTCCTGGTTTCTGCGCTGTTTTCTTCCCCCCTCCCCGGAAGCTATTTCTCTGCTGTGATCCTGCCCTGTCCTCTCAGTACAGACGCCTCTGCCCCGACTTACCGCTCCCAGCTGCTCCCCGGGGATTCATGCCCTTAGCATGTCAGTGGAGGGGTGTTGTTTTCACTGGAGATGCAGATTCTGTCGTTTCGGACACATGGCGCTGGGAGCGATATTTAGCCGGGAACAGGAAAGTCCCATCTTTATTAAGTCCTCCTCCCTCTGAGTGTGCTGATCCACTCTAGGGCACGGTGGGTTAAGAAGCTCTGTGGTTTTAACCTCCAATTTCCCGGATTTGGTTCAGACAATGATCTTCTCCAAAACATTCTCAGGTCTCTGCACTCTTGGTGTGCATCACCCACAGGGCTTCTCAGGGAACTCCTTCCCTTCTCGTTTCCTTTATTACACTGGAGCTGCCTAGACGATAATGATTTTATTATGTGGTCTCTTCTCCAAACAGCCTCCCTGAGCTCTTGAGGAACTAAACTCGATCTTGACAAATACAGCCCTTCCACCAGAACCATGCCCAAATACCTCCACTGCCTTCCCGGTCATTTCAGAACCAAGAACAGTAAGCTGCACTCCTTGTTTGTAAAGCCTGCTCAGGCGGTCCTAACAGACTTGTTCCTTCTCCACTGCCCTCCATCCTGACTCTCTGCAATGGCTTAGAAACAGATCTGCTTAGCAGTGTCTAGCATACTAGGTTGGTTTTCTACTCTCTTCCTATCCTAAGTTCTTGTTGACTCCTCTCCAAGGAGCTATGGAAGCAGGGAGCAAACTGCAAATTAGAAATATCCCATCTCCTAGAACTGGAAGGGACCTTGAAAGGTCATCGAGTCCAGCCCCCTGCCTTCACTAGCAGGAGGACCAAGTACTGATTTTGCCCCAGATTCCCCAAGTGGCCCCCTCAAGGATTGAACTCACAACCCTGGGTTTAGCAGGCCAATGCTCAAACCACTGAGCTATCCCTCCCCCCACACCACAGTCTGAATACAGTAGGTCTATTCCATCTCTTACTTCTGCAATAGCCAACCACACTGGATAAGCACATTAGCTGGATGTTTCTGCTAAAATAATCAGCAAGAACAGATGTAATTGTTAACATGTAAATTATCATTAAGCTCCCTAGTTAATTTCCTCTTTGCATGAATAGAGCAGTTCATCAGTCTCTTAGAGCTATTATTTAGCTTGTCTCTCTGCAACCTGATGTCTATACTTAAAATGGTACAATGGCACTGCTGCAGCTGCTTCACTGTAGCACTTCAGTGGGGAGAGGTTCTCCCATCGCTGTAGTTAATTCACCTATCTGAGGCGATATCAACTGAAAAATTCTTCCATCCACCTAATGCTGTCTACCCCCACGTCTAGGTGGGCATAGCTACGTCTCAGGGGTGTGGATTTTTCACTTATCACTTTATCACTTATCGTTTGATGATCACCTGATCTGTTCATTCCCTCTGAAGCACTCTTGGAAGACAGGATCCTGAGCTAGACGGACCTTTGGTCTGACCCAGTAGAGCTGTTCTCATATTCTTATGCCGATGTAAGTTTTCATTGTAGACCAGCCCAAAGGCACCACCACAACAATTCACATTTTGAATATTTTCTCTGCAAGGGCTAGAAGCATAAACATTTTGGTTTAATTGAAAAAAGATTCCATTCTGCAAATACAACAGTGTGTGGCACTAGAAAATTGGGTCGGCATAGCTACCTTGCTGAAGGGGATACTTAAGCTAAACTAAGTCCCTGTGTAGACAGCGCTAGGTCGATGGAAGAATTCTTCCATCAACCTAGCTACTGTCTTTCTGGGAGATGCATTACCTGTGCCCATAGGAGAACCTCTCATGTTGGCACAGGTAGTGTCTACACTGAAGCACTACAGCAGCACAACTACAGCGGAGACAATGTCATGATTAAGTGTAGACAAGCCCTGTCACTAAAATCACCCTGACAAACATCACAGCTCTAGGATGGAATGGACTAAATAAATGCACATTATTATTATTCATGTTCCTTGTCACTTTTGGACTGTAAACTCCCTGCAATAGGGATCGTCTTCATCACCCAGCACAACTGCAGCTCTAATCCTGACTGAGGCCTTTGGGCTGTACCATAATATAAATGAATAATAACAATATTAGTCAGCAGAACAGATCACAGATGAGTATTCCTGCCTATAACTGGCCATGAAGAAGCCTAAGATTTAGACATAAAAGCAGCAAAAAGCTAGCACACTGGTAAACAGACCTTTAGACTTTTCAGGTTTGCCATGCCCCCTTGGGGGTCTCTCAAACGAATAATTATCATCAATGTCACCTGGGCTCTGGGCACCTGTTTCTAGAGAGTTCAAGGCAGTTTCTAGAGCCCCTCTGATAATCCCTTTGTCCTCCATTGTAACACAGCCAGGGTGGGAATTCACTGCGTTGTGCAGAGTGGGACAAGACAGGATGCAGGAGCTGCCAGTTTAGGAGGAGGCGGGGAGGAGAGATGAACGAAACAGGAAGGTTCCCAAAGCCTGGGGAGTGAAGGGTTAACACGACGGAGCTCCTCCAGCTCCTAGAGGGGCCCGACCGGGAGCTCTGCTTCCAAAGCTTCCTGTGCCCGGCCGGTGGGTCCCGCAGAAAACTGGCGTCCGCAGCGGCTGTACCGCCCGTGCCCCGAGCGCAGCCCGGCCGGGCCATGCCGAGCTCGCCTGCTGCCCGCCGGAGCGGTGAGTGCAGGGGCGGGAAGAGCCTCCCGCGAGGGCAGATAGCGGGGCTGGGGCCAGCACACAGCCCCCGGGGGTAGCAGTCACCGTCCCCGGGACACAAAGGAATCGCAGCCTGAAGTGGGGGTGGCAAGGGAAGGGACAGCGAACTAGCCCGCAGCTGCAGCCCTGCGGGGGCCCCTTTAAGCCACCGGGCAGGGGCCGGAGGCGGGGGCTGCCCCGTGTGTGCAGTTGCAGGCCAGGAGCGTCTCCTCCCCCGGAGGAGTCGTCGCTCTGCCTAGCTCCCCCAGCTGGGTCCCTGAGCTGGCGGGGCAGCCAGCGCACAGATGGCACTTGCGGGCCTGCAGCTCACGGGGCCCACCTCTCCAAGCGCAGGTATGTGTGTGCCTGACCCCGGGCGGCGGCGTGGGGCGGGCCGTGCAGCCCCGCCAGCTCAGGGGGTATCTGCTGCTGCAGCCCCGGGGAATCTGCGCTCTGGGAAGGACGGAGGGCAAATGTCACCCAGCAAGCAGGAGGCGGCAGTGGGGCTGTGCCCCGACACACTGTGTGGTCACTCATCGGCAGTGGCTGTGGCCCAGTGGGTGACTCTCCAGTGGCAGAGCTGGTGTGTGGCTCCCAGTGTCCAGGCCTTCTCTTACAGCGTCTCCTGCTCTTTCTGGGGTCTCCATCTGCCCTGTTCTCTGCCTTTTTTCTCTCCTCCACAGCTCTGCTCTTTCATCTGCAGGGGCAGGACAGAGCTGAGCAGAATTCCTCATGCTGAACTGACAGGAAATGCTAGTCCCCAGCAGTTTCCCAGGCCAGGGGAAGGCCTGACTCATGGGAGACAAGGGTGGGAAAGTGTCAGTAACGGTAGCTGGAGGGTTGCAGACTTTGTAGCTTGTGTAGGCCGAGCTCATTGCACGCACCAGGGACTCTTTGATCCCTCCAGTTTCCCACACAAGCTTCCTGTGTGCCACCCTCCTGTCCCCCTCTATCTCAGGCACTCACTGCAACCTCTTTACCCCCTCCCTCATGCCTGGGGTCTGGTTATTCCCCTTTCTTCCCTTCTCACCATGCTGCCCCCCCCCTTCCCCTCTGCCACAGACTCTATAGGACAAGAAGCAATGGGCTTACATTGCCGCAAAGGCGGTTTAGGTTGAACATTAGGAAAAACTTCCTAACTGTCAGAGTGGTTAAATACTGGAATAAATTGCCTAGGGAGGTGGTGGAATCTCCATCATTGGAGATTTTTAAGAGCAGGTTAGACAAACACCTGTCAAGGATGGTCTAGATAATACTTAGTCCTCCCTTGAGTGCAGGGGGCTGGACTCAATGACCTGTCGCGGTCCCTTCCAGTTCTATGATTCTATGTGCCCCCCACTCACTCCTCTGGCGTATGCCAGGGTCTCGGTGTGCCTCCCCATGTCCACTTCCCTGCATACCATCGTGTCCCATTCTCTACCTCTGCACTATGCCAGGGGCTCTATGTGTGCACCCCCCTCCCCACTCTCCTCCATTTTGATCTTGCTTTGCTCAGTCAATAATACTGATGCAGAAATAAGATGTCATTCATTTACTGATTTTTGTTATGTGCACAGTAACAGCATCTGAGTTCATAGCATAGATTAAATGCATTCTGACGTGTAAGGGCCTGATTTTCAAAACGACAGAAGCCCACAACCATGTATAAAACTGAGAGCTTCATTCAGCTAACAACTGTGCATGCAAAACAGTATTTCAACGGGCAATGCTCTGTTGGTATGCATAGTTGTGGTGCATGCATGCATGATTATACTGTTGAATTTTGGTCTGTACATCAGTCTGTCCACAGTATGCAGCATAAACAGCCCTCTTCCTTGTATGGACCCAGCCAACTATTAATGACTCATAGATTTTAAGGCCAGCTGGGACCATTGTCATCATCTAGTTTGACCTTCTGTATAACACAGGCCATAGAACTTCCCTGAACTAATTCCTGTTTGAGCATATCTTTTAGAAAAACATCCAATCACCCACCTGCTAATGGCCCATAGTTGAGGAAACATTTGGCCAAGAAGATGTATCTTGCACTGTGCTCTGAAGGTCAGTAAAGTCAAGCTGTGGTGTGACACTGAAGAGGAGCATTTCTGTAGCTGTGACTCTTCATCCTAAGACATGCTGTTTCCTATCTCCAGGAATGCAAGTGTAACAAAAGCAAAGTGAGAGCAGAAGTACTCCAGATGATCTGAGCTGTTGTAGCAGGGCATGGACAGAGAGAGACAGCCATTAAGGTAGCTAGATCTCTACAGATAAAAAACCACCACCATGAATTGCACCCAGAGGAAGATGGAAGCTAGTGGAGAAATGGAGAATCAGAAAGTGAAAGGGGGGAAAAAGAGCCTGTTTCCTCTCATTCATCTGGCATATCTAGGGCCCTTCAGATTTCACTGCCGGAGATCTACATGGGAACCAACGGGCATAGTCCTATAGGACTCTGAAGTTACCCACATCACAGATGAAATATCCAGGGGATAGAGAAATCCCCTAAGATATAACCCAAGGATAGCACAGCAGGTATCACTGTGAATTACTCCCACAGAGACCATTTCTCCAGCTGAAACTTTGGGCTTCAAGTGTCAGCATGAGACTGAAGCAAAAGATGCTGAGTTTATAATCCTTATGATTTCAGATCCTACTGAAGTATGGTGATGTCTTGTCTGTTTCTTCTGTGAGGAGAGGGATATTTTAGAGGAATGGCAGAAGGAGCTGTATCAATGCCTGAGGGAGAAGAATATACAAGGTTGGCTTCACTGGGTAAATGTAAGTTTTCTTTCTTTTATTCCGAGCTGTGTAAACTCTGAATTATCTGGATTTTCTGTCTCTCTTTAGCATTTATATGCTCCTCCAATAGTGTAGTATCTGAGCTCCTCACAATCTTTACTGTATGTAGGCTCCTAACATTCCATGAGGGCAAGGCAGGGCTATTATCCCCATTGTACAAAGGAGGAACCGAGGCACAGAGAGGCTAAGTGACTTGCACAAGGTTACACAGGAGCCCACGTCTCCCAGATCCGAGGCTTGTGCCCTTCTACTGGACCATCCTTCCTTTCCCTGTCCTCAGGACCTCCATTAGCACGTTTGGATTTATTAAAAGTACACATCTGCTCCAGCAGAGGGTACTGGTGTAAAACCATTTACATACTTTTGTAACAAGCTCTCTGGGACCAACAACAGAACATAATGTCTCCCGATCTCATTTCCCACAAACAGACTATAAAAAGTCCCAAACCAAAACTTTTCGGGGAGGGGGCCTACAAATATCTCCAATAGAACAAAGAGAGTCAGAGCTGTGGGTTGTGGATCTTCAGGACTCAGTGGATGGAGCTATTCTGAAAGCCCCTCCCCAGGTGAGTAGTAGTAATCCAAGCTTCCTCAAGTGAAGTGACAAGATGGAGACCCTTTCTAAGCTGCGGAACTGGATTTCCTTTATAGGATTCACTGTGACTTGGCCAATGCCTGACAAGCCTCTACATCTCTCTCTTAAATCACAGTCCTCCTTACCCGTTGTGAGTCAAAGGTGTAACTCCGTTGATTTCATTAGCATTATGCCAGCAAAGAATTTGGCTCAATCTTTCTGCGTCCATGATTATTTCATTTGGGGAATGGAGCCTTAATATTCATCTTTCCCAGCCCCTAACATTTGTTTTGGGGCAGGGATTTTCTCCTTTCATCCAGTTTTCGTGCTGAAACACTGAACTATTCAGATAACATCACATTGGGAGGGTCCCATGGTTGTGCTCCCTAGGTGGAGAGATCCATGTAGGATATGAGGCAACACAGTTCTTCCCTAAGAGCATGCTGCATGGAGGGAAACTCCCCTAAAGATTGTTGCCGGAAGAAACAGTCAGGCACAGCTAGTTTGAAGAGAGACAGCTTTCCCTTGCAGTCAGTTCCCACTAACGCAGAAGTGGAATCTAAGATCACGTAGCTACTCCCACCAGTATCACCTCATGTATTGTCATGCGACATATCCCTCTTTGAACAAAAGACTTCCATCAGGGATGGCAGCATAACTGGAAAAGTATGACATGAACTATGTAGTAGTAAGTTCCAATAGCTTTGCTAACTTAGTCAATGCAGTTTAAATAGTCATATGATGCATTATAATGTTTAGGCCTTCAACACTGTTTCTTTCCCATTGCTGAGAAGCCAGGCTGCCTTCTTATTGCGTGATCCTGAGAAACTCTTCCCTGTTCAGGATAAACACTAATCAGTGAGTACTAATGATCACGCTGCTTCATACTCACTGTACACATTGAATTCTTCTCCTTAGGTGAAGTCACACTTTAAAGAGTGCTCTGTTAAAGACCGTGTTCAATTATTGCTAATATGAAACCTTTACCTCAATATCCTCAAGTTCCCCATCGCCAGTAGTATTCCCGAGATCCCATATGACACCAAGCTGTGAGACTGAGAGACCATCAAAGATTTTTAAACAATCAATGAAGATTTTGGAGTTGAAATGAGACTGAACTCTCCTTTCTCAGTGAAGTTCCCCTTGAGACAACTGGGATCCCAGTCTGGAAAGCAAAGCCTTTTCTGATGGCTCTAGACTTCCCCAGGAGCATGTAGAGAATGAGGTTCTACTGCTAGGGGGCTTATTCCTTCACCCTCTCACTTCCCTGGTCCTTCTCGCATGAACAGAGAGCAACAATACCCGAAGTCCAAAGGCGCAAACAATTCGATGTTTATTGGGGTGAACTTCCAGCAAGCATGATTCCAGTTTCCTTCCTCAGTGTCCCCCTTCCCAGCTCTGACACCACAGAGCCTTGCCTGTTTCCCTGTTTCCATTCCCTGTCCCCATTTCCCCCCCTTTAGCAAAACATGATTCCAGTTCCCCCACCCCGAGTCCCTGTTCCCATTTCCCCCCACCACCACCACTTCCTGATTGACTGCAGACTATATAGTAAAACTTGAGTTCTGCTTAGCTATACCTTAACCAATCATTATACTGAAATTTAACTAATCAATCCTAACATACTGTAACATGGTTATTTAACCAATTATATTCCACCACCTTAATTAGTTTACACCCAGCAAAATTAATTATACACCAGACAGAAACAATTACAGAACCAGACAGAGACCATGCAAATAAACATACAAAACAATACAGAAGTGAGGATTTCACAACTACATCTATACAGACATAAGGGTTTTCCAGCTGTGTCTATTGATAAGTAAGTTCTTACCAGACAGAACACTATCTAACTAAATTTCCTTTTACATGTTCTAGGCTTTTCCCTTTCTCTGGAAGTGATAGATCGGATCACCTTCCTAACAGCCCCAGATGGCCTTATTTCAATGTGACTAGTTTGGAATGTGAGGATGTGACCGTTCACTTCCCAGCTTATGGCTGCCTCTGCTGCTTAGCCAAAGGCCTTAGCCTAAGAACAGGGCCTCAGACTGTCACAGTATGAAAAGGCCCTTACACAGGCAGACAGTGATTTTGATTCTTTCTTTTATACCTCTATTACTAGCTAAGTGATAAGAATACATCTACATTCTTAAAGTATAGGCCTTTACAGACAGGCCTGAATATCTATATCCTAACTACACTCTCTCTGTGAGAGTGATCCTGAGAGTTAATTTTAGTTTTTCTTTCACAACAAAACTCTGCTATTCACAAACACTGCAATGGGGATTGAAAACCCAAGCAGATGAGGCTTGATGCTCAGAAGTGTTGAGTCCCCACGGCTCCAATTGGCTTCTGGAAAATCAGGCCCCAGAAGTCTCAAGTTGGGCACCCAAAGTTAGTGGACACTTGAAAAAATGGGCATTTTCCTTTTTCTCCTCTCACCAATGTTTATGATGAAATATTTCATTCTCCCTTAAAGCAGTTTCACCTGTTCTAGCACCACCAGCAGCCCTGGGACATGCAGCCACTTGCATAATGTGCCGGCCTGAGTTAGTGCCTTCTGGGGTAATATCCTGGGGAGGGATGAGGGACTTCCTCAGTCACATTGTAATTCTGGGAATGGTTAGTGGTTTCCCTCTAATAGCAGCACAGGAGGTCACATCTGGATTTTCTCCTCCTCCTTGCAGGTGGTGGGATCCTGAGCAGAACTGAGAAGCATCACAAAGAAGGTTGTGAGAACCTGAAGCTGCTGGGAATGTTATTGGGGAAATCAAAAGAGAGATTTTCCCAGAGACCTGACCAGGAACCTACCTGCAAAAGGCAGCACAAGTCACAAAAGCAGAAGGGAAACACAGCCAGGGATGAGGGAGGTACCGCAAGGAGACATGAAAGAACTTTCAGGGACCTGCGCAAGCCCCCTGTGCCAGAGAGGTCAGAGACAAGTGAGGGACCATGCACATATCCTGTGTGTGAGGAAAGCTTTGAGGGGCAGAGAAACCTGAATAGCCATAAGAGCAGCATTCACATGGGAAAGAAAATGTATAAATGTAGGGCCTGTGGGAAAAGCTTCAGGCAAAAGCAGGAGCTCTCGGCACATGCGAGAGTCCATGGAGCCGAGAAACCCTTCCCCTGTGCTGAGTGTGAGAGAAGCTTCAGTCGGCTTTCCCATCTCACTGTGCACCAGAGAACCCACACGGGGGAAAGGCCCTTCTCCTGCCCTGAGTGTGGGAAACACTTCAGCCACCTCTCGAACCTCACTAGACACCAGAGAACCCACACAGGGGAGAGGCCCTACAGCTGCCCTGAGTGTGAGAGGCGCTTCAGTAACCTGAGCAGTCTCACCACCCACCTGAGGACTCACACAGGGGAGAGACCCTTCACCTGCCCCCAGTGCGAGAAGAGCTTTGGTGACCAGTCTAATCTCACCACCCACTTGAGGACCCACACTGGGGAGAGGCCCTATGTGTGCCCTGACTGCCAGAAGAGCTTCAGCGACCAATCGACTTTCGCCAAGCACCAGAGAACCCACACGGGGGAGAGACCCTACCCTTGCCCCCACTGCGAGAAGAGCTTCATCCATAGATCCCACCTCACTACGCACCAGCGGACCCACACAGGGGAGAGACCTTACAAATGTCCTGGCTGTGAGAAGCGCTTCAGCCAGCTCTCCAACGTCACCACCCACCTGAGGACCCATTCGGGGGAGAGGCCCTACGTCTGCGCCGACTGTGGGAAGAGCTTCGGCGACCAGTCGAGTCTGAGGAAGCACCACCGGACCCACACGGGCGAGAGACCCTATCCCTGTCCCCACTGCGGGAAACGCTTCAGCCAGCTCTCCAATCTCAACACCCACTGCAGAACCCACACCGGCGAGAGGCCGTACATCTGTCCGCACTGTGGCAAGAGCTTCAGCGAGCAGTCAAACCTGGCCAAGCACCTGAGAACCCACCTGGGGGAGAGGCCCCCCCCCTTGGCCCCACAGCGAGAAGAGCCTCATGCACGTCTCACACCTCTCTGCGCACCAGAGAAACCACACGGGGGAGGGGGCCTACAAATGTACCGACTGCGACAAGATCTTCAGCGAGCAGTCAGACCTGGGGGAGCACCTGAAAGCCCACCCGAGGGAGAGATCCCACAGCGACAAGAGCTTCATCCAAAAATCATCTCTGGTGAAATTTCAGAGGCTTCCTCAGAGATTGAAACCATAGGAGGCTGGAATGCTCCTCTCCATCAGCTTCCCTCTCTCTGTGTGTGTATAGTATGTGCACTGGAGGAGAGGGAGTTATAGAGAATCTGAGAAATACACTCAGCCCATCCACTCCCAAAGCCATCACCACCTCCCCAGTCTGGTGGAGGAGCTCCTGAATAATGGGAAGGGGCTTCACCAGTGGCCATTCCCTTACCAGGCTGTCCTGGAAGAGTGTCAGGAGGCTGCACATGCTGTCCCCATCCCACCCACAAACCCATTCTGTTTCCCTACTCCAACTTCCTTGCAGTTGTTCTGTGTGGTAGGGGTTGGCCTCCTGAGGGTCTCTCCATACTGTGTTGAGAGGTTTTGCTGAGGTGCGTTTGGCATTCCCCTAGGGTTGGGAGGGGCATAAGTGAAAATATCAGTTGAGGTTTTTATTTCAAATCTGATTCTGCTCTGAAAAGTGACTCTGTAAAAAATGGTATTGTGAGGTTCCGTGTTAATTGTCTTTCAGTGATTTGAAATCAAATTTGCTCCATTTACTGGTTAAAAGATGGTTATTCTAACTGTTAGCCCTGCAGAGTCAGCATGGAATATATGAGTGAATCAGGGTTCTTTCTGGTTTGTACATCATCATTGTCATTGGTCATAAAAATTCTGTGATCCAAATTCTGCACTCAGTTATGCTTGTGCAATCTGATCATTTTGTTCAAAGGAGTATCTGAGGACAGAATTTAGCTTTGCAACTGGGACTTCATTTACAATTTTGTTGATGCACAAACCAGAATAGAATCCAGCTAACTCTCCCACCGATTCAGTTCGCTGCCCTGCAGTGCTAAGACAAGTAAAGAGCAGTAAAAACTTATTTGAGTTATTCAGGTCAGCAGCTGGAATGTCTCTGAATACATGCAGGGAGCAGATATGTGGGGCAAGAAGGTGCCATTTTTACATAGAGACTTTTCAAAGTAGAAGCGCGCTGTGGGCGCAATCCAACATCACATTGAAGTCAACAGGCGTTGGACTGGGCCCTAAAAGGTTTAATATAGATCTTGAAAAGGCAGATCCAGTTGGTCACAGATGTTCCAGTGACAGCAAACGCTGCTGACTAGATTTTTTGTTTGTTTTTAAGTAATATTTCTTGATCCTTCCAGAAGTCAGAATTTGTGGAAGCGCTTTAACCTTCCTGGGGTGCATAATCATTTTCTGTTTTGGAAAAGGGGGCAAACACCGCAAACATCGTGTCATGGTTCGTGCCTGCCCCCATTTTATTGCCCTCATCAGTAGAAATTAGGTATGAAGAAATACCAGTTGTGATATCAGTTTTGTGAAGGTGGTATCCTTTAAGTCTTTTGCTACATGAATTCTGAGAACAGCGAAGAAGTCAAGGTCTTGGTAGTACAAGAGAGGCCAGCTAAGGCCAGGTCTGCACTACAGACCTATATCAGTATAACTGTGTCGCTCTGGGGCTTGAAAAATCCACACCCATGAGCAACTTGGTTATACCTACCTAATCCCCTGTGTAGACAGTGCCATGTCAATGGGAGGGCTTCTCCAACTGACATAGTTACAGCCTCTCGGGGAGATGGATTAACTACACCAATGGGAGAAGTTCTCTCATCAGCATAGGAGTGTCTTCACTAAAGCACTGTAGCGGCAGAGCTGCACTGCTGTAGCGCTGTACATGAAGACAAGCGCTAAGTGTGGCATCAAATTCATTCCTATCATATTCAGCTACTACTACAGTGGGGATTTCTCCAGTGGGAATTGTGCCTGGCTAAATTCAGCCAGCTATCTGGTGTTTTATATAATGAGATTAGTGCTTATTTTTACGGCTGTTTATTCCCAAATCATTATATACCATAGACTGGGTTTTAAAAAACGGTGTCTCTGCCATTACACCGAGACAAAGTTATTCCTTTTTCAGGAAGCCTTTTCTTTCCTGACTCCCACATACAAATGGATAATATGATCCGTATTGGGTTGATACGGCTTAATAAATGTATTCTGACATAATTTCACAGTATGTCAGATTAGAGTTGTATGATGTACATTTATGGTTTGTTTTTATCTGACTAAATAGCAAAAAAGAGTTTAAAGAGTGTTCCCATAGGGGGATCGCCCCTTAGGTATTAAATCTGTTGTTTTTGTTTTTATTACTTATATCACATTTAGAAGCCCCAATTGAAAGTGTGTGTTGAAATATTGAAACTGGGGCCCCATTGTGTTAGCTGATGTACACATAGTTAGGAAAAACAGCCTCTGCAACAAAATGTTTACAGTTCACATAGACAAGGCAGACAATAATTGGAGAAAAGTTTTATTTTCCCCATTTTACAGATGAAAAACTGAGACACGGAGAGATTCAGACTGAGATCCTCAAAGCTATTTAGGTACCTAACTCCTGTTGAAGGGTCTATGTGACTTGCCCAAGGTCACAGAGAAAGTCTGTGGCAGAGCGAGAAACTGATCCAAGATCATCTCATTCTCAGTCCGGTGACTTAACCCCAAGATCATCCTTCCCCTCTAATCTAATAGTACAGTGATCACTGTGCTCTTGATATAATTGAATGGCAGAGTCCATGCCACACAGTTCTGCTTCAATACACCTTCAGAGCCACTGCTTCTGTGAATCTGCTCTTCAGCTGGGTTGGGGGTATAGTTAATATAAAAGAAAATTAATATAAAGATAGAGGTTGCTTATATTCTAAAAGATAGAAGCCCAGGAAATGTGAAAAAAAATCTGTAGAATGGTTGAAGGAATGGGAAATTTCTACTTGGTAATTAAACGACACTACCCATCAGCATGGTCCCAGAGCGGAGAGCCTGCTGGAAATGACTGGAGAGAGCAGGAAGATCTCTCAACTTTTAGATAAAAGGGTAATTTGTACTAAACTACAGCTGGAGGAAGGCCCTCTCTTCCTGGGTGGTAGGAATTCAGCTCCCCTCCTCTAGGCACTCTCCAAGCTCCCCTTCTGGATTAAGGCAATCCAGCGCATTAGACACACCGTATCACAAAGCCTCTCACCCACTGACCCTACCCTTTGCTTGGGGGCTGCGTGGAGCCCCACGTGCATTCACAAAGTGTAGCAGTGATGGCAGCATTCCTGAGGAAGTCAGGAGTTCAAGTGTTTCCTTGCCTGGGTGACTGGTTGGTGAGAGGAAGGTCCATGCCTCAGGTATTGTCCAGCATGTCAGTCATCCAGTCCACCTTGGACACATTCAACTTGCTCTTTAACACAGTGAAGTCAATCCTGTCATCTGTACAAAGGAGAGAGTTTCTACAAGCTCTCTTGGACTCAACGGAAGCTAAAGCCTTCCTGCCACAGCTAAGATTCCAGATGATGCTGGCCCTTATTTTTGGACCTGAGGGACCATCCTACCACAACAGTTTCAAATTGCCTCAAGCTTCTAGGCCAGGGGTAGGCAACCTATGGCACACGTGCCAAAGGCGGCACATGAGCTGATTTTCAGTGGCACGCACACTGACCGGGTCCTGGCCACCGGTCCAGGGGGCTCTGCATTTTAGTTTAATTTTAAATGAAGCTTCTTAAACATTTTAAAAACTTTATTTACTTTACATATAACAATAGTTTAGTTATATATTATAGACTTACAGAAAGAGGCCTTCTAAAAACATTAAAATGTATTACTGGCACACGAAACCTTAAATTAGAGTGAATAAATGAAGACTCGGCACACCACTTCTGAAAGGTTGCCGACCCCTGTTCTAGGCCATGTGGCCTCATGCACTTATGTAGTTCAGCAGCCAGGCTCCATCTTATGAAACTGCAAAGGGGCTGGCATCAGTACAGCCTCTTGACATGTTAGTTTGGGTACCCATACAAATCTTGGCCTCTCTAGACTGTTGGACAGACCCTGCAAATGCCTGTGTGGGAATTCCGTTTGCTCCTCCTAACTTCCATTGAAGCCCATCTCCCTGTGAAATCTCACAGTGATGTCTTTCCCACCTCAGCCAGATTGATGCTCTCTCTTTCTCCACATGCATTTATACAGACAGCAGCTAACAAGTTATATGTGTTGTGGCAAGGCACCTTCTCGGTCTCACCAAACGCAGCTGTTTTTACCCTTGGTGAGACGGGCTTGGGGTAAAATAGTCCCTCTGGGCTGCACAGGGGCAGTCCATTTCTTCTCTCAGCCAGTCTTTAGGGCTTGTTTTTCTCCCTTATGGGAAGGAATGCAGCCTTCCCTCCTGGTGAGGCTCACTGTCTTGCTGCTCCTTACCTATTGGCAGCTTGACTCCTCTCTCTCCCTCTTTTCCTAACAGGGGAGGGTTTAAAAAGGTCTCAGGCAGCCCTTAATTGTAATCAACTGATCCTAATTGATCTCTGGTAACCCTCTTCTTAGGTGAACCTGATTGACCTGTAGTCACCCCTCCTCAGTTGATAGGGAGGAGGGCCTTTTAACTTTCTGGGAGTATTTTCTACCCCCTCCCTTGCAGCCATCTGTCCTGAGTTTATCACAGTGTGTATTGGAGGAGGGAGTCTTTCCCTTTGGGTCTCAGCGTGCAAGCCCGGGCTGGCGAGTCTCTGTGGCTAGAGCCTGCAGACTCAACATCCTGATATAGAAGTAGTTCCCGGCTCCAGCTCCATGACAGCACTTCCTGTGTTGCTTCTGCTGATTGTGGAATCACATTCTCACCTGGAAGGGCAGAAGGAAAGGGATGAAGGAGATGCTGATGGAGGAGAGAACTTAAGAAGGCCCTGCCTCTATTTCTCCGTCCCTCTCCCAATTACTCTCACTCCATCTCCTCCCACTAGGGACAGTGTCATATTTTATGCTGAGTTTTGGGAGAGATGTAAACACCAGAAAGTAAGCTGTGAAAGTTATTAAAAAATAAGAAAGGTAAGGGGAGATTCTTCCCCAACCCCACCCATCCCTCCAGCTTGGCCAGAAAGAGACCTTTCCTAGCTCAACAGAATCCCTCCCCTAACCTGGAAACTCCTCTGTCCCCATTTCCCTCTCCAAGACCTTCCTAAAAAGAACTGCTACAACATCAGCGTTTGCCCTGACTAGGGGAAACAGAGAGTGGAGAGAGACTCCCCATCAGGAGAGGCTGGTTTTACCTACTTCTCAGTGAGGGCCAGGACCTGGGCCAGCACAGTGATCGCACTGTAGTCTGGCTGTCAAAGGAGAAAATCGGAATGTGCAGCTGAAACTTGCTGTACTGGGGCCGATTCCTCCTCTCTTTCCATTGCTCATTCCCCATCTGGCACTCCCGAGGGCTTCAGATGCCTCAGTGGTTCCTGCACAGTAAAGACAGGCCAGGTGTTGATGAAGCCCTGGATTCCTCAGAGCCAATCCTCCCCCTGTAAGGAGAAAAAAGAGGGAAGAAGTGACAGGAGAGTGTAAGCACTGGGACAGGAGAGTTGTTCAGGGGCTTCTGTGGGAGGGTGAGAACTTAAAAATTGGACAGTAACTGATCATGAATCCCAGTAATGGTTGAAACTGGCAATATTCTGAGCAAAAAGAGCTCTCAGCCATGCTTGTAGCTGTTTTCATCACTTCACACTGATTCAACAGACATGCTGGGGTTCAGAATGACATATGCAGAGTGACAGTCCTGGAATCTTATTATATAGGCCTGGTCTACACTACAAAGTTAGGTCGACATAAGCTGCCTTGCATCAACCTAGCTGTGTGTAATACCAACAGACTCCAATTGTTGGTGGGCAGGATCGAACCTGGGACTTCTGGAGCTAAATGCATGAGCCTCTACTGCATGAGCTAAAAGTCACATAGATCTTAACCAAGGCTGTAACACTCTGATTAATCTCTAAGTGGTCTAGGTGCTACTAGAGGAGGACAGAGCACTCACCCAGTAGGCATGGGTTACATGTGCATGTGTTTACAATTACATTTGCCTCCTACTTATTTAAGTGCCCAGTTATGCTGACATAGTAACACCACCATCCCAAACAGCATTGAAACATGGTGGATGTAGTGAGGTCAAGGCAGTAACATCACCTCCTTGAGCAGCATTGAGCCATGGTCTATATACCACTCCTGGAGGAATTCTGTGCCACTGCGCATGCGCAGATTTTATGTCCCCACACAGATTTATTTGCTTCCCCGCAGAAAAATGACTTTCTGATGGGGAAGCAAAGGCAAGCCACAAGAGCGGTCATGTGATCCTCCCCAGCAGTATGTTTTGGGTGCCCAGGGCAGCCGGCAGAAAGGTAAATCACTGTGTGGCTGGGAGTGGGACTGGGGAAGACCCAGCTCGTGGTTCCTACCTATGCCAGGCTCAGCTTCTATTCCCAGCAGGGCTGGGGAGGATGGGACTTCCTCTTCCCCTGCATGGTATTTGGGACCATGTCACACCCACCCCCAGATTTCTCCCCCAGCTGTAGGAAGCTCTGCAAACTCCCCCACGCTTCCTGCACCCATTGCTCATTATCTGCCGGGAGGGATCACTGCACAGGGAGCTGCTCCCCCATCCACCCAACCCCTGTGCATCCAGACCCCCTCATACCTCAGACTCTCCTGCCAAACCTCACCCCCCTGTACCGAGAACTCGCCCCCCCCCGATGAGTCCCATTCCCCCTGCCCCTGGACCACCCCAATGAGCCACCTGCACCCAGATCCCCACCCTACTGAGCCCCAGCCAGCTGCACCTGGATCCCCACCCCACTCCCCCAATATCTGGACCCCCCCTTCTGAGCTCTATCCCCCCCACACCCAGACCCCCTGCTGAGCCCCAACCACCTTCACTTGGACCTCCCTGCAGACTCCCATTACTGTTGCACCCAGAACCCTCCAACAAGCCCCTGTGCATCCAGATCCCATCTGCACACAGATCCCCCACTGAGCTGCCCGCATCCAGATTGCCCTACACAGAACCCTCTCAACCCACACCTGGATCCCTCCACACTAAGCCCCTCCACACATGGATGCAGCCTCACTGCTGAGTCTGTGTCCCGGGGGGATGGGGGGGAGCTGCACAGTGATCTCCCACCTCTATGCAGCTAGTGGCCTGTGCTCCCCAGTGCCATGCTGGAGCCTCCACATTTATTTAACAAATAAAATTTGCAGAATTTTAAAATATTGTGTGCAGAATTTTTAAGTTTTTGGCGCAGAATGTCCTCATGAGTAATATACTGAGGTCAACACAGCACAAGTGTATGTTGATACT